AATACTGCAGTGTGTTTGAAGGAGCCTAATCAGGTCAAGATATTTATACACGTTTATACACGATATATAAACAGGTAATTTGTGACAACAGTAGGCTACAGCAAATGAATATCTGCCTAATGAATTCAGATTAGATGAGGAATGTTTAAAGAATTTGAAAAGAAAAAAATAATATATAAGGACCTCAAACATATAGATAATTACAAAATAATAATAAACAGAAGACAGTGTGAACATACTGCTTCTGAATTCCTGCGCTCTGTGGTCAACTCTGAGTCTGTCTCAATCCAGGAGGACAGCTTTCCCACGATAAGTGTGTTCCAATCTAATGAAGAAAGAATGTTATTCTTATTATATTCTTAAGAATCTTATTATTACAAAGATTTAATCATAATGTCTAAGCGTATGTAACTCTGTAAATGTAATTACACAGAGTATCATGGATAAATGTAAAACATGTTAGTTATTCAAGCTTTAATTTCTTAAAAAGGAACTTAATGAGAAACTGACATTAAAGGGGTCTTATCACACAATCTTTATTCCTATTATTTTGTCCCCTGAGGTTCACTTAAAATTTAGTTAAGGTTTTTGTGGCAAAAAATAGTCATGATTTAGGTTTCATGACTGTTTTCCAACCTCTTTTTGACCCTTAAAATTTAATAATTCACTTTTAAGTTTCTCTTTGAATGTGACATGTGACTTCACCGCCAGGGCACAACACTAAGGATTTTTCCACTGGCCCAAATTTTTTACTTGTCCTGACAAAATGTTCACTGGCTCCACCACAAAAAAGTAATAAATAAATTAAATAGGCCTAGTTATTGTCTTCATTGTTTTTGACCCATAATCTTATAAGGTTGTGTGACACCAAAAACTACAAGCCTAACTCAAATATTTAAAATATTGTTAAAAACAAGTAAACTGTCAATAATAAAATAAGGACAAATAATCAAATTACAAGCAATAGCACAAATACAATAGAACAAACATACAAACACTGCTTTTCATGTTTTCAGTTAAGTCTAACAGTACTTTTCAGGTAGAGAAAAATAATCAAATGTAAAATAGCACAGAATAGTCTTCACTGTATACATTATACATAGATTAATCCTTATTAAAGTTACAAAAGTGATTCAGTTAAGAGCAGAGAGTGATTTTTTTTTCTTTGTCCTTTTTTGTTTGATTAAAATTAAAACAAAGACAGCAGCAGGTTTATTGGGCTGCTGTCACTTTAAGAGCTGCATGGATCCAATATACTGTTACACATGCGTTTTATTTCTCAACTGTTTAGATTCATTTAAGATATAACAGAATCCTTTTACTAGGATACTCGCCGAGACCGGCAAGACGATGTGAAAGAGCTCAATTCAGCATTCGGATGCTGTCTGAGAATCGGCTTTTTGGGCACGTGCTTCGGATGTGCGCACACACAAAACTGCTCACACTGTGGAATTGAGTTCTCTTTCATGTCTTTTTGCACTTTAATATTCAAATTGGCAAGGTGTCAGGATCTGGTGTCAGGATTAATATCTATACAATTTCCTCCAAATTATCTTACTGCCACGGGGCAAGTTTCGGAACACAGACTAGTCATCATTGTTGTGTAAACGTGAGCGGCCACATGCAAGTGATTTCTTCTATCTGACATCAAAAAGATGCTGATGTTTTTGAGTTCTGAAAGTTACAATATGTTTTCATTGATTGATATCTATGATATACATAATTGATATACGTGTACATGGATATCCATCTTTCATAGATCAAGAAAAATTTCTCATGACATGACCACTTTAAGAAAGTTTCTAAAAACAAAAAGTGCAATTGACAGTGTGCTGCATGTAAATATTCACTCATGCAATAGTTTCTTTATATCTCACCTCTGCCACATAACAGTAGGTCAGAACGAGTTTGGGCTCCGGGTCGTGACTTAGCAGGGTCCAGTTCAAACTCCCGACGGAACCGCGGGTGGAACAACGGCATGCACAGGAAATCAAAGCTATAGGACAGAATGACATGTATTTAGACAAACAGGCACACAAAGAAAACAGATATTGGCTGCATGTTATGTTTAAATTAATAGCAAAAGTCTTCAATGGGGAGAGGTCTTTAAATTTTGTTTTGGACTTCGGAATCAATAAAGTATTTATTTTTCAATTCAGAAACACCAAGCTTGTTTGGTATTACAAAAAGTTTATAGAGCGATACATCATTGGTGTTATTCAGCTGTCAAGTGATCATCAGTCATTACAACCTCTCCCCATCAGGCTCACAATCCCATCAGTCGATGAGGTCAGACCTTTTAATATAATGCATTACATGCATCTCTTTTCACCTTTCCCCCCACAAACCCATCTTATGGAATAATCCAGATAATTAGAAATAGATCATTTTTTTTAAAATAAGTGGTTTAATAATAATAATTAGTTACATTTATATGTCTCATTTCTCAGCACTCAAAGCGCTTTACATAAGGGGGGGAAATCTCCTAAACCACCACCAATGTACAGCATCCACCTGGATGATGCGAAGGCAGCCATATTGCCCCAGAACGCCCACCACCAGCTTATTGGTGGAGAGGAGACCGTGATGAAGCCAATCAGTATATGGGGATGATTAGGAGGCCATGATGGACAGAGGCCAATGAGCAAATTTGGCCAGGATGCCGGGGTTAAACTCCTACTCTTTTTACGAAGGACATCCTGGGTCATTTTAATGACCACAGAGAGTCAGGACCCCAGAACGTCTCATCCGAAGGATGTTTTAATAAAACATAACTTTTGTTGCTGATCTATTAGACCCTAATGGTGACATTCTGTCATTTGAAAGTTTTATGAATATCTTCCAATATCCTTTCCCGTTTAAAGAATTTTATTCTGTGATAAATGCTATTCCAAGAGGCATAATGCTTATGATGAAAGCCTCCCTTCCTTACCCCAGAGTTATGCTCTAATCTCACTTATGCACTATCTCAGTTATGTTTGGGAGGTGTTCAGCTTTTAAGTAAAGAATGTAGCCTAATAATACATTTATTCTTTCTCAGTCTCAAAACTCAATTACTCCAAAAGGAAACATTTTGGTGGGGTCTATAATAGATGACATTCAGTAGAGGAAAACTTGGTTATTACCATACAAATAATGCATACCCAATAAAATTGTGCATTTTAAAATCCTACATAAAATCTAGCCTAGCCTTACAATGCTATCTTATCAAAATACTGCGATGTAACTGATATATGCACCTTTTGTAAAAATAAATAAAAGTGAAGACATTTTTCATTTATTTTTTTCTTGTAATGTTTCATCACTTTTTTGGAATGATTTGAGTTTCTATTGCATTTCTAAAGCTAATGTTAATTGTAGTCTTTGCAATCACCTCCACTTTAAATAACAAATGAACTGAAGCAGCATGCATTAAATACTTCTGCCACAATTATTGCGCTGGAAAACGAACAGGTCACATCAACACGATTGAATAAGTCCATTCAAAAACATCTATAAAATAATAAGGCGAACCCATTTAATTCTTAAGACTCATTCTAGAGATATCCATAAATGTTTCAAAAGAAAGCCATACGCTACTGGCAAAAATGATGTGCAGACTCATGTGTGCAATATAAGCAGATCTGAGGAAGCCGCTAAGCTAGCAAATGCTCGTGTGCACTATGGTGTGCATCACGTGCAGAGACCTAGCCGAGTGAACTTCAACTGAACACACTTCACTTTATATAGGTTCAATTCTGAAATATGTTTTCTTAGTTACTGCTCCGAAAGCTCCCCTTGCTTACCCTAATTTGGCGACCGCTGCGAGGGTATCCGCCACTTCGGGAACACAACTCAAATCTCTCCCGCAGGAGACCCTGCTACCTGCACTGCCGGACGCCATCGTTAGGAGACTGGATGGGAGGGAAAATTAAACTGATAGAGGACTATGGTGAAACTAAAGTCATGTTGGCTCAATACAAGCGTGCCTGCACTCTAGCAACCATGCGGTGGTGGATCCAAAATGGTGATGGTCTGAATCGCAGTTTCTCTTTCTCATTCGAGTCTCGCGAGACTTCAGAATCAGAACGAGGTCAGGCTACAAAGCCAGCCAGACACTACAGACGTGATGCAGCAAGAGGCGAATTTGAATTTGCTCCAGTAATTTTGAGACAATGTTTAATTAGTTTTAAGGGATTGCATCGTTTATGTAATAATCAGCTTGTTTTTAATACAACAGGATTATCATTATAAACTGAGGATATAACCACGGCAACGATGCGTTATTTTAATTAAACTGAACACTTTCCAGATTAAACCTGACTCGTGTCCCAAATGGATTTTGCACTGGAATTTTACAGATAAAAGAATAGTCCTATTTGAGGGCTTTGCTATTGCCTCAAGTAACTCACCAAAACATAATATTAAATCACATCACTTACCACTAAACCACAGGGGATGTGAAATTAACTTTTTTTTTTACTCGCCACCAGCCAAGCTATAGGCCTACTACATTTTTAAATTACCGGTCATTCAGAATTAGCCAAAACAAAATCTGAAAAAAATATCAGATAACAAACTAGATTAAAAACCCAGAATCCACTTTGCTATTCAGATTCAATATTTATTATTAAATCTGATTGCCATACACAAGTCAACTACACAGGCAATTAAGCATTTAATTTGAATTCAGTGTTGTAATCCACATGGTTTAAGTCTACTCCTCGTAAACCTTTTTGAGAATATTTTGTGAGATTTGCATTTGAGCCTTTTTATGTGTGTGAATAACAGACTGAGCTCATCTCAGCACTTTTATGATTATGTTTGAAGAGTCGCTTCAGTGTTGTGCCTCAATGATGACCACAGAAGCATATCAGATAAAAAGGGTAGCAAAGATTTTTGCTGAGACATCACAAGTGCATGCTTGTGTACATGGGAATATGATGTGAATACTCTCCACCTCCTATATAAATCACATGTCTCAGAAGGGTCTTTTTTGTTTGTGCTTCTTCCAAGGCTCAACATTGCAACTTACTAGCTTTCTCACTAAAAAGAAAAATGGCTCTTGAGGATGTGTGTGATTTCCTGGAGACCCTGGATGACAGCAGCCCGTGCACTTATCTACCAAATGAGATGGGATACATGTGGATGACACCGTTTGAGTTTGATAGTGACAGTCCTTTTCATTTTCTTCCCCCCCCTCAGCAGAACAGCAGAAAACGCAAGGCACCATCTCTTCTCTCTTCAACTTTCTCATGTCTGTCACCTCATCAGCAACCCTTTCAGCTATCACATGGTACAACGACTTTGGGCTTTATATTTCAGGATGGCGTGATAGCCGCTGCGGACACTCGCGCCAGCTGTAAGGGTCTTATTTGCTGTCCGATAAGTCAGAAGATTATGCCCATCCACTCTCACCTGGTGGTCAACACATCGGGCAGCGGTGCCGATTGTATGCTATGGGAACGGATCCTCACCCGTGAGATGAGGCTTTACCAGCTTCGCCATCACAAGAGACTAAGCGTCAATGGAGCTGCAAAGCTGCTCTCCATGATGCTTCATCCATTCAAAGGCACTAATGTGTGTGTGGCAGCTACTCTATGTGGATGGGATGGAGAAGAAACTCAGATACTGCAGGAAACCCTACGGTCTAGCGTGGAAATGGCAGATGTTAAGGAAGCAATGGAACAGGATACCACTGCAATTTCAGATGCATCTGCTCTAGGTAGTGAGAAAATGGCCTCAATAAATGAGCAGGAGGATATCTTGAAGGACACTCATGCAACTGTGTTGGATCAAAATCCAAAAAATGTTCTGTCTACTATTGGAGGACGGTCTGGTCCCAGGGTGTGCTATGTTTGCAGTGATGGCCTGCAACTGAGAGGAGAACTAATATCAGTGGGCTCAGGGTCACCCTATGCATACGCCGTGCTTGATGATGGTTGGAAATGGGGAATGACTGTGGATGAGGCGGTGGGACTGGCCCGGGAGGCTGTTTTCAGAGCCACTCACTGGGATGCCTACTCTGGGAATAATGTAGACATTTTCCACATCACTGCCCATGGCTGCAGGCGCAGAGATAGAGAAGATCTGAAGGAAGAGTACTACAGAGAGAGGGAGAGAGAGACGGAGAAGATCAGGGAGAGGGAGAAAGAGAGACAGAAAACAGTGGGATGAGCTGGTTGAAGGGGAAGGTGATATATATATATATATGTATATATATTCAGTTCACTGTAGATAGGGACTCAAAAGGTGGAAAAACAAAAAGACATGGATCGAATATGAATGTGATGGACTGACATAGGAGTGAGTAAAACAATTTCGGTTCACTTGACACTAGAACAGATAAAAAGAATACAAAATGCACAGAGAAAGATAGTTCTCGTAAACTTTTTATTTAAACCAAATTAATAAAATATTTTATCAATACACTGCATTTTTTTTTTCAGACAAACAATTGTAATCATAAAAACATTGGATTCTCCTTGATGTTGAAGACCAAGAATGGATTGATTTTGTATTTTAAATCAACATTATTCACCAATTTAATTAAAGTAAACAAATTTAGTCCATTTAATTGACAATGTACTTGCAATAAATGTTGCCTTGTATGGAAGTTACTGTAATTCAGTATTAATTTGAGAAAATTATAAATCAATTAAACAATCAGTTTTAAAATTTCCAACCATTTGGGTAATTAGATAATTACTTCAGTTCTGATTATTTTTACACAAAATCTATCCTTATTTCTTTCCTCAAGAAGACTTCGATTATACTCTGTTGTAGGCCAACAGGTTATCTGTGCGTTTCAGTTCCAACAATGAGTCTTTTTTTACCAAGGCTAATGCTAAAAGTCGAGTCTGTCCCATCGTATTTCTGGCATAAGTTTTAATTCGCTTTAGGGCTGAGAGAATGTCCGTTCGACAGAAGCAGTGCACAGGGACAGTCACCGCCAAACAGGACGATGCAGCTGCCCCATGCTCTCACAGATTTTTGAAGGAAATCAATGAGATTAGCTGGACTTTTGCCTTTAAAATCAGACATGGCATACATTACAGTCAGTTAATTCTGTTTTTCCCCGGACAGATCGAATAGAGTTCCGTGACTCTGCGTTAAGCTGGATAAGGTTTTTTTTTTTTCCGGTATAGGTTTGAAACTGCTGGGGGTCGAGGAGGGAGAGAAACATTAATTTGTGGGTTGAAAAACTATTAAATCTACAGGGATATATTTTAGTTTATGCAGTTCGATACAGTTAGCTAGCTCTGACTTCTAGGCCTACTAGATACTAAAACAATCAAAGGACGTGAAAATGCTGACGATGGCCCCGGTGCAGTCTAATCGCTACAGGCGCCCGCAGCCCCGCACTATCGATTCTGAAGGCCTCGAGCAGATTTCATATCTTAAAATATGTTAGTGCCATTGTTTTGTCTCAAGATTTGTTTTTCTAAGGCACATTTATAAAAGCTACTTAAATGTCCTAATTTAACTAAGGTAATCCTAACTTAAAGCTCTGTCTGTGAAACAGGCCTATGGCAAAAATAGCGAGAGAGTATGTTATGCGGTTCTGAATTCAGCAACAGTGTTATAGCAACGGTTGTCAGTAGTTGTTGTATGACTTTATCAAGCTGTGACATTAAATATGTAGCTACTTTTTCAGGCCAAAAACGGTCACTATGATACATTACAGTCAGAGTGGCGGCCACTTTCTAATGTGTAGTTTTAGGCATATTTAGTAAAAAGTAAGTACTATATAATGGCAACGGTCATCCTGGGCATTAGATGGCGATGCGGCGCCACAATCGTTTGTATCCTCACCATGTAATATAGAAGAAGCAGAACTCCGCTTCTGGTCATTATCTGGAACATGGCGCTGTCTAGTGTATTGCGGAGTGAGTCTGCGGATTTCTCAGATCGCTTTGACCGGCCTTTTGGGCACGGTTGTGGCATCAACCAGACGGATCTCGGCTTTGGAGACGCACTGAGTGAAAGTCTGAACTTTGCCGTGAAAACACTGGGTGAAGGGGATGAACCGGAGAGAAAAATCGAGTTTCTGCATGGCACGACCACCTTAGCATTCAAAGTGAGTTCATTTAGCCAGCAGCTAATAGCATCTGGCCAGTTTAAAAACTATTTAGTTCACCTTACCATTAATGTAACCTAATAATCACGACACATTCAGAAGTATGTATGTCTTTTATAAAACTACCCTGATGTTTATACAGTGTTTGTTATCAATAGATAAAGGCTAAAGAATGAGTGACTTGACAGTTTGCTAAATATACCAATGTTTACTCATTTAACTTAACTGGTTTATTTGATTTGCGGAGTACTTTTAGCGCATTTCTATCGTATATTAAAAAAAGACATGCACTGATAAATGTATTGTGTTCTAGTTTTTAAGGACAGCGCCTAGGGACCTAATTCGTTTCAGTAACAAGAACCGCAAACTTGTGTGTCAAACAGAGTTAAAACGTGTTTACAGTGTTACGAACGAAGTTTCTAAAAGTCTGTATGGAAGTTTAAATGGGGGCTGATCACAGTATGAATAGATACTGTAGTAAAGTTGGGTATCTATGCCAAAGTGGAGATTGTCAAAATAAGACCCATAATGACACAGCAACTAATGTGCTTTTTCATTGTTGACATACTACGTGATCCTGAGCAGGTGGTCTTGTCAGAATGTTATGCAGACATAAGATTCATTTTTTTAGTAGACTAGTCTGTTGTATATTCACAGCTTGGTAGCAACACTCTTTACATATTAGAACTCCTGTTAAAATTTCACTACCTGTAATTTTTTTAAACTCTGTTTTTTTAACCTATATATATGCATTGTTATATATAAACAATCTGCATTGTTCATAGATTAACATATATTACAGCTATTTCCTTTAAAGCAAATATTTTTCAATTAGCACCCACTTCTGTTTAAAAAATGTCTGATTTCAAATGTAAACCCACAGTCATTTTCTCAAATAAATACATCTGTTTTTCTTTGTGTCCAATCTGTCACAGTAGGTTTGTGCAGTTTCATCCAGTTCACAGTGATTATCTTCCTAGGTGCCGTTAATAATACATGCAATATAAATAACTGGGATTTATTAAACTGATCTGAGGGGAATCCACCAAGCAGACACAATTGCATTGGTATATCTCTTCCTAAATCATTACTAATTTTCCTTTTAATTCCCTGCCAATACACCTGTATTTTGGCTCTACATGTAATTTAATGTCTTCATTGGCATAATACATATGTATTTGAGTGGGTGGCACTAAATTGAATTAATAGATTATTCACAAACCTGTATTAGTCTATTTGTTAGAACAAACAAATTATAGCTTATGATGTCATAAAGTGTCATTCTGTTTGTTGAAGTCAACAATATTCTCTAAAATGATGACAGCAATGATTGGCTGATGAAACTAGTCCTGATACTAGTGACATGAAAAACTTCAGACAGGATAACATAAGCCTGGATAACAAGCACTGATAATCTACTAAAATATGTGATTATATGGTTTTGGAAAAAAAAATCCTCTGTACAATGCAACTTTTGAAAGGCTCTCAATGGAGAAAGATGCTTGATAGAACCATATGGTGTCGTTACTGTCACACTAACAAGCCAATACTTGATTTATTTATTTATTAATCAGATTAAAATGCCCCTATTAGACTTTTTCAAATATTACCTTTCATGCAGTGACTAATATAGCTGTTTGTGAATGTAAAAGGTCTGCAAAGTTTTAAAGATCAAAGTGCACAACAAAGTTCTCTCCTAAAAGAAAGAATTGATTCTGAACTGCCATCTCACTGCATGTTACATCTACATAACAGTGTACCAAATCTGCATAATACCAGCCTATGTGGTCTTCATTGGCTGCCCACAAACATCATCTACTTTGACCCACCCTCAAGCACTGTAATTGTAGCTGAGGCCTAGAAGATTTTGGTTTGTGTTGTCGACATGTCTTCTGTGCTGCGAATCCACTTTGCATGCACATCCAAAGGAGAAGGATTCATGATAGAGTTGATACGGAAAAAAAACTACGCCATCGTTACTGTTCTTATCACTGTGTATACAAGTGCCGAGGAAGCCTCTGGAGCTGAAATTCAGATATGAAAATAGGTGTTTCATTTCCGACACGCGCTGTAGACCAATCACAGCAGACTGGGCCGTCTGACCAATCAGAGCAGAGGCGGCTCTCGGAAAAGAGGGGTTTAGAGCGACTGAATCTTTGAACAAACCGTTTTCAGACTCTGAGTAATGAGTTGATGCGCAATGTATAATAATATGAGAAAATAAGTGTTTTTGTCCTTGGCTGCATTGTAGAAGACCTCCAAAACAAATTAGGAACCTTTTAAAAATAGCATAATAGGGGCACTTTAAAGTTATTATACATCAGCATTTTGTTGTCTTCTGTAAAATCAATCAAATTAAAATGAAAATGAAATGTAAATAAATAAATGTGCAAGTTTCATCAACCTATTTCTCTCATGTCTCAGTTTCAGCATGGTGTCATTGTGGCTGTGGATTCCAGAGCTACAGCCGGCTCCTATATCGCTTCACAGACCGTGAAGAAGGTGATTGAAATCAACCCGTACCTGCTTGGCACTATGGCAGGAGGAGCCGCGGACTGCAGCTTCTGGGAGCGCCTGCTGGCCAGGCAGTGCCGCATCTACGAGCTGCGCAACAAAGAGCGCATTTCAGTGGCTGCTGCCTCCAAGCTACTGGCTAACATGGTGTATCAGTACAAAGGCATGGGCCTCAGCATGGGCACGATGGTCTGCGGTTGGGACAAAAGAGGGCCAGGTAAATATCATACTCATGTGTAAATTGGATTACAACAACTGGTTAGACAAAGCTGTAATTTTGTGTTGCATTCGGCCACACTTATATAATTTAAAAAAATATTTAATACAATATTATCTTACAATAAAAAATATAAAATACTTTTGTGTTTGTGTGTGTATATATATATATATATATATATATATATATACACACAGACACACTTTGGTAATAATAAATACATATTTATTGCCTATGTAATTATTTTTTGGAGCTGCCAGTAATTGTGCTTTGATAATTGGTATTGCTTTTGTCAAATTTTTTTTTTTTTTTAGGTAAATCAAATTTCAAAAATTGGCATTAACATTGTTGTAAATACTAAAATTTCATGTAAAAACTTTCTCAGCTATTAATACACCCTACCTGGTTAATATTCTCTTATAAAATTGTGAGGATTATGGTAATTACATATTTTGTAATGGTATTTACAAGAATATTTGCTTTTAATTAAAGGTGGTTTTCTGATTCTGATTCCTTTCTGATTCCATTAAAGGCGTTGAGCGGAAACATTCCAGCTGTAATCTGTTTGCATCTGGAATAGCTTTGTGATGTAAAAGATTGTCAGAATTGTTCTTCACCATTTATGTTTTGAATGATTGCTGTAGTTGGCATGGGGACAAATGATGTGATTATTTTCTCTGCTTATTTGACCCTGCCTTTTTGCTGAAACAGCTTTGTAAAAATAGCTCTATCACCATAATTTCCCGCCAGACTCCATCGGTAGCCGGGATCTGGTTTTAATATGCAGCACCATGACTTTGTTTTTGAGATGAATCACAAACTTGCACATTAATGGACTCTCAAGACCTTTGCTTTTCTAGAAAATGATTGATGTCCATTTTTCTTAATTGGATATTGCATTTAGATCTATAAGAGGCTTTTAATCTAATGGTCTTAATGGTGAGCTCTGCCCATTTTCAGTTCATTTTGTTTCTTCCTAACATGAAGAGTGCAAGCCTAAATGAAGCAAACCTGACTGAGAAAGACTAATATAAATTGCTGCTACAAAATGCAGTATACGAGTGTGCAAAGCAGGGATTTAGATTAGCCAGTACCACCAGATGGCGACATAGCGCTCTGTGATACTGATGCATCCCTCAATTGCAGACACTGGGGTGTTGTAACTGCTCTACATCACGGCCAATGTGTTTAAAGAGGCCCTGCACAGTGACACAGTAATGGGAAATCAATATGCCGGTGACTGTGGGCCAGGAGGGAGCCACACCATGATGGACGCGACTCTCAGCCAGGGCAATCGGGTCGCATGCAAAATCCTGTCAGCTCGATCAATTGGAGTTTATGCGGTGACACAGGCAAGCGTGTCCCCCCCCAAAAAACAACCTTTGCCTGGCGGATAAATAAAACTACGTGGTAAATCTTACAATCAATTTTGCACATAGTGATTGCTGTTAGAAGTTCGGTAGCTGCACTAGCTGCGTTGTGATTCAATAAAGAGGTAAATGTTGTGCAAATTAAATCAATCTTGATTAAACAGAGCACATTTACTGCCTTGACAATGTCGGGCACTCTTATTCCTGTGATTAAGTGTCGTTCTTTGAGGATTTTTTAAAATAAAAATCTGTGACATGGTTCAAGATGGTGATGCAGTTAAACTTCTGTTGAGACCACTGTTGTTGACCCCCCAAAGTTTAGCCCTTGTGTCATTAGAGCGCTTCTACAGATGCATTCTTTCCTTGCTGGTTGAGTTATGGACTCTGTTTACAACTGGTATTAAAATTAATTTGTGATTCAATCACAGTAAGGTCCAAATGTTGTGTGTTGTCCAATTAAGCTTTGAGCTAAAACAAGTTTTAACCTTATTCGGGTATGTGTGACGTTAAAAGACTATATTAAATAACACTCTTGCCATCATGCAAGTGGTTACATGAGATTCATGTTGAGACGCAGGTGTTTACAAGGCCAATCTGACCTTTGGTCAAGCAATTCAAGAAGTGTTTCACCATGGTCTTATTTCTCTAAAAGCAACAGTCATGGTCTTTATTTTCTTTCTGCAACTTTTCTACATTACATTAGTTCTCTGTTGGCTTGTTGTGCACCAACTGTGAAAATATAGACAACTGCTGTCCTGCCAGGAGATGCAAATATCAGCAGGACTGCTGTCTCAAAGACGTATGAAGCTCTTTCAACTGCCATCTTTTCATGTTCTGTAGACGCGGACTGGCGATGTGCATGCATGCTTAGACGTCTGTACACAGTGATGCTTTGCTTTCTGAGCAGCTGCGCTCATCAGTGGCACTCCTAACCAACCATGGCTGTGTGACAATCAGCAGAGCAGTCAGCCAATCACCTGTGTATATTCCTTCCTTCCTTTTGTCTTGAAGTTGCCATTCATACATGCAGACAGCCGCTCTTTCAGTCTTGCACATCTAACTGCCTGTCACCTTTGTGATGGAGTGCAAGGAGTCTGGCTGTCGTAGCATCCCGAGATCGCTCCCGCTTCGGCGCCTCTGCTTTACGAGGGCTCGCAAATTCAAGTGCCTCTTTTGTTCACCTTTACTTCCCCGCCCTTTCTCAGCGACGCAGGTAGCATGCAACGGCCGTTGTGTGATAAAACGATCCCAGGTGTTGTACATTAAAAAAAATTCCAGTCTACTGAAGTACCCTCGCACTCCGCTCCTAATGAGAACCGGCGCCTTGCGGCTGAAAGAGACGTCCTATTGCATTTTTAACCTGTTTTTAGTCGTCACACTTGGCTCTACAAAATGGTAAATTACCTTGCATATATTCAGGGAACAGTAACGATTATCAGGTCGAGCTAACGATGCGTACAGAGTGTAATTTGCTTGAAGACGCCTGAGCCTTACTTGCTACGATTGTCCTTAAAATGTCTCTGTGAGCTGATTTTGGGGTCCTTGAACTTTACTCAAACTTACCATTACGTTTTCAGTAGGCCTGCTGCGATAGTCGGTGTTAGACGGTGTTCAGCAGCTACACCGGTTACATCCCTTGCCCACGTGGCACCACTCCCCATTGTTGTTTAGAGTATAGTAAAAAAAAAAAGTAATACAAATCTTTTAGTTCAGTTAGAGAACAGACACTACAATTAAAAACAGAACACGTCTGCCCAATTCAGCTTAAGCCGAACTAGAGTCGCAGCACAGATCAGCAACAGGAGTCAGATTTCACCTCACTTCGCCCATATTGCCTCACTCTTGACTGACAAGACGACGGCGAAAGATTCGGTTTCAAAGCAAAATGTAAAAGCGCCTATTTAAGCGTGTTTGTCATTGCACTTTTAATTTTTTTTTTTTATTCAATTGCTTGAATGGTGAATCGTCACATCCCTAGTTTTCAGTACTAGTGATGTTCTTCGCGTTGCTATCAGATTAACATGCTCGCTCATTAAAGGGATAGTTCACTTAAAAGGGCTGCATGATCTTGAAGACAAATGTGATGTGTAATTACTTGTTATAATGCAGTGTTGATGCAATAATGCTTTAAGTGTGTAAAATACAATTTGATATAATAGGCCCAACATGCTTCATGCTCTCTTGGTGCCTTGGGCTGACTCATCTTCTCTGACTAGTTTGGTATAAGAGCGTCATAACAGCTTGTTGTCTCGCATGTGTCATCGGAGAGCACACTCGAATTCAAAATAACAGTTGCGTTTATGCTATCTTTGACATTACATAACTTTCTGAAGTTCAAAATATTGTAACCGCACACCTTGTGATATGCATATCGCTATTTCAATATTTTTTTGTATATTTCAATTTCGACAATATAGTGCAGCCCTATTACCAAAAAATGATTTACTCATCCTCATGTTGTTTCAAACCTGTATGACTTTCTTTCCTCTGCAGAACACAAAAGAAATGTTGCTTTTTGGTTGATACAATGAGTCAAATGTTGTTTTGCTGACTTCTGTTGTGTGGACAAAATCAGTTGAAACATTCTTCAAAATATCTTTTATGTTCCAAAAGGTGAGTAAACGATGACGTTATTAATTTTTGGGTGAACTATCCGGTTAACGGTCCATCTGCAGCCTGGTTCTGCTGGAGCACAGATGGGACGTAGTCACCATTACTCTAGCAGTGCGTTTTGTCATAGCGCAGCCTTTTGGACACTTGAAACTTGCCTTGAGGTGCTCTGCTGCTGGACCAGACAGTGACCCACCAGTTCACCGAGTGTGATGTGCGTCGTCCATCATGTTTGGGGAGGTTTCAGGTCTTCAGGTGTAGATCAATAATTAATTCTGGTGTTTTTGGAGCGCTCAATAGCACCTCAGGCGACGCCCCCGGGTTGGATGCTATATTTGCTTGTGCCTGGTCTTAGCTTGTTCTTTAGCTTGCTTAATATTAGCAAGATCTCTTCTATAAAAAAAAAGAAATTCACCCCCCCGCTTTTATGCTGAAGCCCTTAGGTAACCCTGAGACAGAGCTTGAGCTATCGAGCATCCGGCTGTCAGGCAAGAAATAGTAAACCAACTGTTTCCCATGACTCCATTTCTCACATGTATTCACCGAGATGGATTTGACCTTGTATAGTTCAGAACATTATTTATGTTCATAACATCGATCTACTGAATTCCTTCTTAAGTTTTTTTTTTACGCTTTCAACTTTCGTGGAGGCGCCTGCCTTTTAAACACTGCATGATGTAAAGCAGTACTGATGGTCTCTCTCTCTTCCTCTTCCTTCTGCTTTCCTCTGATCACAGGGCTCTACTATGTGGATTCAGAGGGCAACCGCGTGTGCGGAGACCTGTTCGCAGTTGGTTCGGGTTCCATGTACGCCTACGGTGTCGTCGACAGCGGCCTTCGCAACGACCTGTCCATAGAGGAAGCCTGTGACCTAGGCCGCCGCGCCATCTACCAAGCTACTTACCGTGATGCCTACAGTGGAGGCCAAGTCAATCTCTACCACGTCCACAGCGAGGGTTGGGAAAGGGTCTCTCAGGAAGACGTGCTTCAGCTGCACCTTAAATACCAGAGCGAGAAAGCATAGAGAGAGGGGTTGGATGGAGAAAAGGGATGAGGGAAGAGGCCACAGCATCAATTGAGTTTCAAAAGGAAGGGTGAGACTGGTCAGATGAAGAATGAATAGCAGATTACTGGTATAACCTGAAAGGCACTTCAGTTAACTTAATGAAATCAAATCGACTTCCAGGAAACTTAATGCCAACTCTTTTGTAAGAGCTTGCTCGTCTGCGCATGAGAAACTCAAGCAAAGCTGTCTCTCTCTTCCTCTCATCTCTCTTTCTCTTGAAGTTAAGTAATTTTCCGTTATTTTTCTCACGTATGTTATTCGTTGAGTTGTCAGCCACAGTTTCAGTAGTATTACAACCCCATCCATTGCAGTTCCACTTGTTGTTTGCGATTTATAAAATAAGGGGGCGCTGCGTCCCAATGGACACTATGACAAGCCAAAACTCCTGTTGGCCAGCTCTCGCTGAGTGGGAGTGGGCTTCTGTTCTTCTCTTCTCACATGTATCTGCAGTTACCCACAGTTACTAAACCTACTCTCAATAAAACCTTGAAATTTTGCTATTTAAGTGTTCTTTTTCTTGATCCTGATGTATTGGTTGGTAAGTGTTTTGACAGGTGATCACAAGTTGTGCAGTGGCTCTAAAATGTATTTGGAAACTTGAGTCACATCTAATGTATGAATGTCATTGCATTAAATTATAAAATATGAAACCAGCGGCATCTGCAAAGTGCCAACAAATAATGCTATATCTTTTCTCAGAACTTTCTCAGTTAATTTTAGGCAACTTGCCCCACGAATCATGGATATTCTGGAACCACAAAGTGAATCGGTTCATTTAATATCAACACTCCCAGTTTCGATTCATAATGTCATAATTACATCAGAAATACCAGAGAAAATAGTCATTAAATGGTGGGCCGGGCTTTCAAATATTGTGTTAGCCAATGGGGTTCCTCATAAATGACTGTTTAATTGCAAATACAAGTGTGTAAATTCCTAATTGTACTTCAAAATACCTGTTTTTAAACCGTAATGCTTAAAGATGCATGCAAATGATAAGCTTTTGTGCTATCCATGTGCAACGCCACATGAGCATAACCGCGATAGAGACGATAGTTCAAAATCTCTACCGGTTGACAAATTTATTCTGGTTTATCGTGTCTACCATTATAATGCCCACCCCTAGCGGGCCTTCAAATGTTGTGTTAGCCAATGGGGGCTATTTCAGTCAATAAGGTCGAGAACCACTGGTCTAATTACTGTTCATGCTATTTTTCATCCAAATAAATGCCACTTGGTTTGATATTTTATCAAATTAGGCTGTCAATTAAATTGTGATTAATAATATACAAAAATGCAATTAATCATGCCCCCTGACCCGTGCGTGAATTCATTTACATTTGAAGTAGGGATTTTCCTACTTTTGGAGCAGTTGAAGCTTGAAATACCACCATAATGTTTTTGCCACAATAATGTTACATGTCTTTGAATTTGTCAATATTATCTGTGAAAAGCCTCCAAATTAATTGATTTGCTCTTAAATAGGATTAAATTGGTGTATCGTGTAATTATGAATGAATCATTTTTATTTTTAATTTGAAAGCCTATATCTAGTGCCATTCCTACATTTGTGTCCAACTATTTTGGGAGCATTGTATCTATTTCTAGGTGAACCTTTTAATATCGGCTCAGATGGCTTAAAAAAATGACAATTTTTTGCAATGGAATTCGTTTCAGCCATCTTGCCCATTTGTCTCCATCAGCACAGGAACTCTGAATATTTTCCTCTTCACTTTTGCCTGAGGCCCTGTTTTAAGTGTCTTACTTTTTCCTTCCTCTTGCCATCACTGCTTCGTAATAGTATTTTAGAGATGCAAATAGTGCATTCATTGTGTCTTTGTCTGCATTGGTCTTGTCTTGTGGGCTATATTAGTGCTTGCTGAACAGAAGTAAACAATCTCTAACACCTTAAGCTGACAAGGAAAATAGTAATGGTATTTTGTGCTGTTTTGCAATCGTCCTCCGGCTTTCGGGTCTATGGACTCAGTCCTTGGTTGTCTTATTTTTTAATTAGAGGGGGAATTTATTTCCAATTTTAATTTCAGCACACCTAGTTTCCCAACACCAAATGTGCTCTATCACGTTGTTTTACAATGCAAGGATTCACTGTAGCCCCCCTCAGTAGTTTTATAGCTGAAAATAAACACTAATAAAGGCTATGGGACGATGTGGTGGCCCTGAGCCCCAATGATTGTTAAAAACTAGTTTCACAGGTGGCTAGTTAGCAGATGGAAAGCAAATGGGATTTCAATAAATGTAAATGGGGAGTTCTTCTCCATTACTTTGCTTGGAGAAAATGAAGAGATGAGAGTTACTTACGAAATGACTACAAATCATGTTTTTGAAGTAATTTAGTTGCAAAACATCTGCAGCATCGAACACGTATTTGTTTTGAGTGGTGAAATGAGATGTTGGGCTGGTCACTCTTGAAAGCACTCATCAACTACCTTAATTATCCATAATGGTTAGCTTTTAGAAAATGCAATTCACATGCATTATAACAAAATAATGTTGTTGGATGCATTGCAATGAGAGAAGTTACCATTTGAATCTCTCATGAGTAATATAAACAGTATACACCTCCTTTTCAAGGTTTAAAAATGTAGGAAGAGCTACTTGAAGTTTCAGTACCAGCAGTGTGCTTGCCGATATTTATGGACCATCTTCACACTATTTGTCCTATGATACAACAAGCATTGTGATACAATCCACGTAAGTCTGTAGTGATTTGGATAGTCAAACTGTATCTTAACCAAAGCCAAAATGAAGAATAGGATTGTGTGAGAGACCAGCTGGTTAGTTTGTTAGGTGCCAGCGATATGATTTTCACAGTGTCAAAAAATAACCCCATTGCACCCACGTGCCACCATCTGTCAGGTGGCCATAGCATACATGACAAATCTCTCTTGCTTTATTTGATTTGCTCTGAATTGGATTTAAATTTCACAGTATACCCTGATTAAAATAAACATCTTAGACCGGCTTAAGATGGTTTAACTGGTCTCTCAGCCTGATGAGGCTGCTCTTATTAAAGGCGTTTGTGGTGTTTTTCAGCAGGTCAGGCTGGGAGACCAGCTTTAACCAGAAAATCTTTATCTCCCTAAAACACAAAGATTTTTTTTTTTTTAAACTGGTTTTCTTCTCCTGGTCATGTTGGTCTATTGGTTGGTTTTATTTGGCAAGGTAAGCATCTTAAACCATCTAAGACCAGCATAGACCTACAACCTGCCAACTATAAAATAATTAGATTCACACCTGGTCTTAATGCTGGTCTAGCAGATTTGAGATGCTTTTTAGATATTCGCCATGCCGATCTTAAATGGTTTGTTGGTCTCACAGTCTGGTCAGGCTAGTGTGTTAGCTGGTTTTAGAGTGGTTTTGGACACACTTTAGCTGGTCCGGCCGGAAGTGCAGATTGGATGCCAGCTAGCAAACCATCAAGCTGGTTTCAGGGTGGTTTCTCTTCAAGAAAAAAAAAAAAATCTTCTGGTCTGGAAGATGTAAGCATAAATCAAAATAAAAAAATACAGTGAATCGTGATTTAATCCTGTGGTTGTGATTGAATATACAAGAATAAAACAGTTTTTTCTTCCTCTTCGGAAGCTGTTCCCGGATCGAAAACAAATGAGAGGTCAGTTTGTCAGGAAATCACTCTGGTCCGATACAGTGCCCGCCTAAAGACTCTCGAGACGTTATGTAATCAGCGTGCTTCAGTCCTCGAGTTCGCCCTCGTGTAATAGCATTTGGTGCCACTCGCGCATTCTTTTCTCTCTCTCCCCGCGTGCGACAGGCACGCTCTTGTCATTCCTGTTGCATACCCCATTAGCCCACCCCTCCTTGTTTCTTCTCCCCCCTTAGTTTCATAATAATTTTTCATTCTAATTGCGTGTGCTCATTAATTCCAATTAATGGTCATTTAAATATATAGGCCTATGTAAAAACCTTGCATGATCAGACGATCTTGGACATAATTCTGCATGAAATTTTGTTTTGTCGTATCTTGGTGGCTTCAGTAATTCTGTCTTTCATCTCCCCCTCAAATATCTGTCTGTCTGTCAGACACCCTGTCTGTCTGTGACAATACGCATTATTTAATGTGGATTAAGCAGCGTTTCATACCTAATTAACAAGGAAAGTCAAAAGGTTGGTATGGTATCGTTCGATAGAAAACTTTTAGAACTGTCACACTGCCCATATACGGCTCTGATGTCACATTCTCTGATGTAACGCTGTAGTCCACGTCTGTCGCCATGGTTACTATGCCAGTAGTATGGAGCGAATTATGTGCCAAAACCTCTCACACACACAAAACGTGTTTTACTCACACCCAATGATTCACAATCAAACTCAATGTGGTTTGTAAATACGAAACATCACTCACAAACTAATGCATATTGTTCTGCAAATAAAAAACGTACCTATCAAACAAATACAGTATGTTTTACATATACATAGAAACGTATTTCTTCAATGACAAAAATATCATCCAAGTACAAACTAAAATCTTTCAAGTACAAAACAAAATTCTACAAGTACGAAACAAAAACCTTCAAGTACAAAGCAAAATTCTACAAGTACAAAACAAAATTCTACAAGTACAAAGCAAAATTCTACAAGTACAAAACAAAATTCTACAAGTACAAAACAAAATTCTACAAGTACGAAAAACTGTCACGTGATTTTTGACACTATTTTTCCGTGTCCAGGCAGATTTTCTCACAAATGCAGTTGAGCAACTTCCTCTTCTAGAACAGTAGATGGCGCTAAGATAGGGGATCAATTTCGCGCTAGTCTCTCGGGAGAAACACTGATGTGAAACGCGTGCTTGCCTTTGCCCATGGGAAAATGAGCGGTGAACAGGGGTGTTTCTGTCTTACTTTATCTATAATTTACCTTATTGAGGTTTTGGTAAATGTTTATTATATAGACAGAAATCCACATTAGCACTTAGTAGCACTCCACTCTAGGATAAGGGAATCTATAAACTGAAAGCTATGCCATCATGTTGCTTTTTACATTTTTGTAAAAACGTTTCATTTACTGAATGAGTCTATTTCTTTCGTTCTCCATAAATTAATGAGAACATTTCATTTAATTGAAAGGGTCCCACTTATTCATTAATTTAGTTGGAATTCAGTCAGCGTAACTGTTAATGTAATAAAATAGGCCTAATGAATGAACAAAACAAACAATATACAATTGTTTCTTAACTTCCCTGTGACGTATTGCTCAAATTATTATTTTGGACAGACAAATGAAACCCTCCTTTCAATTAAATTAAATGTTCTCATTAATTTATGGAGAACGAAAGAAATAGATTCGTTCAGTGTACATAATCACTAATTTAGTAATTTCACACGCGTCTTATGCGGATTTTTTTTTTAAAAGCAACATATGATCGAGCTTTCAGCTTAGATTCCCCTATCCTAGAGAGAGTGAAGTGCTACTAGCGGTAATATGGATTTTTGTCTAGATGTAATAAACATTTTGCAAAAGAAAA